ATTTAAGAAATACTGGACCAAAATTGGTGCTTTTATCACGTTAATAATAAGATCCAATAAATGCTAAAAAATTATTCTCTCAATATTAGTGATTAAGGAACTCTGGGTTTATTCACAGCTCTTTTACAGTTCTGACTGTTCAAATTAGTGTTTATGACTGATTATCTTGGTTTCCTCTACAGAGTTACAGCTAATATATAAAAAAAAAAAGAGATATCTTTTTTTTCTTCAGTTAATCTTATCAAGGACTTGCTTAATAAAGAGGTGGGCCTCAACATCTGAAGTGTTTCTTAGGCCTTGTGAGAGTTTCACTGATGCAAAACTGGGTAAGGAACCAATTAGTGGCAAGAATTACTATTTCGTGTTTCACAAAGCTAAAATTTTTAAAATATATCTATAAAGTATTCATCAGCAATGTACAATTCTACCTTATATTTACCTGTATCATCCCTACACTAGGCACCTTCCTCTTCAAAACAGCTTGCTTTAATCCAGTTCCTAAGTGAAACAATGATTCAGGAAGAAATATTTCTTTCTTTTGTTTCAATTACCAACTGAATTAACAATTTAAATAACTTATTCTGCCACTTTCACATTTAAAATGAATTAAAGGCAAGTTATAGTGCCAGATTCTATTATTCCCAGGGTTTGCTCCAAGTAAGGACATAAGCCAAGAGACAAGCCCTTTTTTTCTATAAAGAAAAACTTTCCTTGAGAAATATGTAGAATGAGTTATTCAGTTTCCTGCCAAATAGGAAAGATAAGAATATATATGATGTTGCATCATGTTTGCCAGATCAGCTGGACATTTAATAAAAAGGAGTCAGGGCCTGATCCATCTCTCCCAGAAATGACTGGAAGGCTTTCTTTCCATCAGCTCCAGTGAGAGTTGGATCTAGCCCCATCTGCATGTTTTCAGGCACAAGACCAATTTTCATTTCCTGACCTGTGTGTATTTCCATTGAGAACATTACTATTGCACAGAGAGAACAACAACTTGTCAGAAGATTACAAAGATCCAACACCTTTTTTAGTTAACATTCTGCAGATACAGTAACTTTACCCTATTCACTAAATATTTTTATCCACATCTTCAATGTTATAGTGTATTAAACAAGAACAACAAAAAATAATATGAATTGCATTATTACAAAAACTCCATCTGCCACATTTGCATGAATGTATTCTCAGACACATGTATTCATGCATGCGCATGTAAGCCTTCATCTCTGCTGCAAGGACAAAGAAGCTTTTTAATGTACATGAATGAAGAAGCTCTACATTGCAAGCCTTTATTTATGTGACCACAAAGAATCAAATAGTGCTACTGGTTATAAGCCAAATCATTGCAGGTTTCCAGAATCAGTCCCCTAGAACTTGTCATTTTTTAAAATCAATGTTATCATTCATAAGGACTGTCTCTTTATGCGTTTGCTACCTAACCTGAGGCATTTCATGTAGATGTTTCAACTCCTTTAGCTTTAAATGAATTCTCTTCTGAAATAGTAGAACCTTAGGGTGTTATTGTAAGAGTAACTTCACACCAATCTTTTGTGAAGTGCTCTGAGCCCTCACAGTTTCTTTCCCACTCTCAAAATAACCAATAAAATATTTATTAAAGCAGCCTGAACCACACAGGGTGGTGTAGGCTGAAATTTTGCTCTTTGCTTATTACAGCAGCATAGAAACCCTAAGTAGTATTTGTATGAAAGCAATATTCTATAACACAAACCCCACTGGGCAAGTAATACATTAGATCTGTAATACTTTCTATTGCCAGTCTCATCAAGCTGATTTGGAATTTGTTGCCTGGGTAGAGTGACTCATATGTTTACTGGCCCTGACAGGTGCCTGGCATCTTCCACACTCATTAAAGTTAATGACTTCAACAGCAGACAGGGAAAACTGTATGTTGAAGTAGGTTTCCTCTTAACAGGTATTCCCAAGTTATCATTTAAGAGACTATGTAAGTGGTGTCAATTTTCTTCTGCAATCACAAAACCAGCCCATAACCAAACCCCTATCCCTTCATTGCAAAAATAACCCAATTAGCTTCACAGGGACTCCTTGTTGGAGTAAGGCAAGAAAAAAAATTGCACTGTACACAGAGTTTTCCACATAAAAGCTCAGTTTCTTGCCATAAAACTAGTCACATCCTCACCGGAACAGAGGAATTAACATCCTGGAAACAAGCCAGTAATTTTATAGAAATATATGCCTTTAAGTAAGCTCTAAATCAGTATTCTCACAATAGCGGCAGCTTTGGCATCGTTTCTATCCCAACAAGCCACAGCTGCTGAAATGGAGACTTCTGACTTCATATTAGATAAGTAATGAGACATTTTAGGCAGTGGTGCCAGAGTCTGCCCTTTGATATCAAACAGCACGCTACAGTTGTTGACCAGCTACACCCAAAAGATATGCCTTTAAATTACACTAGTTAGCTAAAAATATTCAGGCAAGAACTTCACAGAGACTTATGCCATGACATTAGACTGTCAACCAAGATATAATGAGTTTGAGACCTCACAGGCATCTGTATATTCATACAAAACCAAGAAATTAGGAGGACTGAATTTTTAACTACAGAGAGACCTCTACTTTGATGCCTGTCCAGCCACTAGATCTGCACTATTAATATGACAAAGCCCTGTACCCTGGCTTCCACCCAACAAGACAGAAGTACTGAGCCAGAGACCTCACAGAAACCTGTGCCTTAATATTAACCTGCCATGCAAAAGCTCCTGAGCTAATGGTCTTGCAATGAGTATAACATACAGACATCTGAAGGAGGAAAAGGAGAAGATTAAAACCTCTAAAAATTAGGCAGAAGAACTATTGCAGTCATAAATACTCATCACTTTTAATATCTAACTTTTCAGGATCTTCCAAAGCAAAATGTAATGGTATGTTTCCACAGTTACATTAAACGTAACAGTTCAATTAAAGAATTGGCCTTTTTCTTCTTCAGCAGGTCTCACACAAACATTTCTTGCCCTTATAATATCATAAGGCATTGGGGTACAAACCACTGGGCAACACATCTTCCAAACCTGGACTAATGTGCTGTTTGCTGGAAAGAATTTGAGGGAAATCAAAAAAAGTGATTGCAACATAATTAGTAAGCAAAATGTTGACTGATAGAAAATTGCTCAGAAGTTTGGAACATATTTCAGTAATTTGGGGAGAGATGGTAGTCAGTTAGTTGCAGGATGAATGCATTTATTAGAAATTTACCTTAACCCAAATGAAATGTTCTGCCATACTAATAACTGTTTGCTCCCTATGAGTAACTGATGGCAAATGTCAAAGCACTTTAATTTTTAATGAAGTTTAGAAAAGAGATTGAGATGACTCTGGGAAACTTGTCCAGAAAATACATTAAATGACACAATGAACTAAATTTCTTTTTTTCAAAATTACTTCAGAATCAAATATTACTGAAAATCAGGAGTTTTGCAGTTCAAAATACCTACATCAATTTTCAAAATAGGATTTTGTCTCCTATAAGGGTATTGGAGAAAGTCTGCATACAGATACCCCAAAAACTTGAAGCAAGTATTTTCTTTCTGAGTGCTATTTTTCCATCCACATTGGCACAAAAAGTAATTGGAAAGAAAATATTCCAGAAAAACCTTTCTCTTCCTGATGTCTGAAAGGAGTTTTTATAGTGCTGAATCTTTACATTGCTCCTCATTTTCCACCTACGCTCTTAGCATTTTTCATTGCTTTCTTTTACCTTAAATTAACTTCTAATTTATAATGCTGTGATTTCTGTGTCTCATTTAAGCAAGATAATTATCTAACACTGCTTCATGACTACAAAAGTCTAACATTCTACAACATCAGTCACTGATTTGTTTCCAGATTTCACTTACTTTAGTCAGAAAAAGCTGAACAGCAGCAGCTGCTTTATCTGTCTTTTACAGTCTTTGATCCCTCGCTTGGAAGGCCTAGAGAACTGTTTAATGTGTAAGGGAAGACCTCCCCCATACTACTATGTGAGAGTCCCTGCTTATATTGGGCAAGAACCAATGCCCATTAAAGTAATTGAGATTTTTTTCTATTGTCTTCTGTGGAGTTTGGTTGGGCCCAACAGGTGAAAGACTTTCTCACCGAGATGAAGGATTCACTACAAACACTTCCCACTCTTGACGGTGATCAGCAGAAGAAAGGGATAGTTAAGTTCTATCATTAGCTGCAAGGCTATATTTGTTGGACCAAATCTGAAAACTGGAGTATTCTCCACTTCAGATACTGGTTCTCAATGTTTAAACAAATTAAACTGTTTCCTTGGTTTTGGAATGCTTTGGCTTTGCTGGCCCGTGTGGCATGCAGGGAATAAGCAATGGTTAACCAAGCCTAATGGACAAAGTCTACAGGGACTTATGAGTGCTTAGGAAATAGACCTCAATCAGTATTTTACAGAAATTATTAAGAGGAGATTGGGCAAAAAAGTGCTTGTTCTTAGGTTTGAAACAGCCATAGAAAGCCTAAACACACTTCAATCTAAAAATGGTATACCAATTATTATTTTTCCATTTACATTGGAAATGCTATCAAAACTTCACAACTGCGTAACTACAACATGACTAAAGATGCCCATGTTACCTATGCAAACAAAATCACTACAATAAAAGCTGTTTTCTTTATTGTCCACAAAGTACTGAAATTCTAGGTCATTGCTGTAAAAATGTGGTGATTATTTTATTAATCACTCATCACTCTACAGAGGAGGTCCTGAACCACCTGTCAACCATATTCCTATGCAAATTGCTAATTACTTTACTTTGCAGAGGTAGCAAAGTGATTACCTCAAAGCCTTTCAATGGCACTGTAGGGCTGCATAACACCAGACCCCCAGCAAGCAATTTACAAAACTGATTAAGAGTACTGAAAAGTGCCTTTTGCAAACTATCCATCAGAGACAGACGAAAACATAATCACAATATAATGAAAGACAAATCCAATATAAGTGAAAAGAGTGAGTTGTGTCTTACTTCATTTGAATTTTCGGTTCGGATGTTTTTATTTTTCAGCTTTTTCTGCAGCAGTTTGGTTTCATACTCTGGTCTGGGATGCTCCTGAAAAAAAAAACCCAAACAAAAACACAAACGTGTGATTATGATTAAGAGAAAAGAAAAAAAAGTTCTGGTCACTTATTCACAATCCAAGCCATCAAGATGATTCAACACCACAGGACCTTTTGGACTAGGGGGATCACTGCCTAGAGGTATGGGATACATTGTGGGATAAAGTGGAAGAGCATTTAGAGATTGTACAGGACTTATTATGGGATGTTTAGGGGAGGAACCAAAGGTGGGGAAGGGAGGGATCCATGTCACTTAGGGAGGAACAGCTGTGGAAAAACAGAGGGATAAGGGGAGAAAAAGGGCCAATCCCATGTAAATAGTTTGCTGGTCTGTATGGAGGTCTGACCACCAGCAACTGCAGGTATGAAACTCAGTATAGAAGTGCTAGCGGAGGTGAAGCTGGAGTAGCTGGCAAGTAGGTGAAGTGCCTGGGAGGTGTGAGTCTCTTAAGGGTGAGACCATGGTGGAATTGGCTGTCAGAGGGTCCAGGGGAGTCCCAGCCAACTTCAGGAGAGATCACAGGGTCTGGGGGCCTCTAGGAGTGCAGCCCACTGGAGCGTGCGTGCATCTTCAAGGTCGAGATGAGGGTGGGTTGGCTGCTGGGGAACCAGGGGAGTTCCAGCCAGCTCTGGGAGAGTGGAATGTACGTGTGAGTGAGCAACTGGAGAGGGGCTGTAGCGTTGTGGGCTTGCACCTCTGCGTGCCGGCAACTGGGGAGACTGGGGCCCAGGGGCACCTACTGGGCAGACTGAGTGAGCCCAGCTGCTGAGGGGATCTGCATCGTACATATGTGCATATATATATTCTCACTAGCAGGCCTCCCTCCTGCTCAGCCAGGGAGAGGAGCAGGATGAGTCCACTGTGCTGTCTGTGTTTGTGTGCCTGCTGCCTGCGTGTCTGTCTGTGTGGCTGGCCATGTCTATACATACATATGTGGCATATATGTGTGCTCTGTGTAAGTATGCCTACTGGGAATACATGCTTAGCATCACTACAGGTTGGACCTGGGGGCATGGTGCTGTGCCTGCCTTGCCACTCTTGAGCTGTCAGATCTGGCCCAGTTTCCCCTATCAATAAACTTTCAAGGTCTGCCTGCAAAATATATTTTTCTGTTCCAAATTAGAGCTTAAATTAAGCATGGTAGCACAAATTTATCAGGATTTTAAAGAGAGCAGCTCATAAAAAAGACAAACACCATGTATTTCCTCATTCCCACCAAGTTCTGAATTCATTCAGAGACTGGAATTTGGATTTGATGCCTCCCACAAAAAGCCTATTCCTATGACATTGGTCATACCATCCTTCCTTACTATAATTAGAACATATGCTTCTCAGCCCAGCCACAAAATCAACTTACTAACACTTTTTAATGAATCTGATAGCCACGAAGAGAATAAAACCCCCCCTTTTTTTTTTTTTTTTTTTTTTTAATTAATGGACAGTAGTAGGGGGGTTACATGGAACTTCAAGAGTCTTCTTTGGGGGATACATGTGCTGTTCATTTTCTGTTATCCATAACATTTTCACTACATCAGACACCATCTCAAGCATTCTCTGTTGCACACCGGTATGTAGACACAGTGAGACTTCCAATGTATTGTTTATCCTGATCAGGAGATTTTTCCTGACACATTGAACAGGTAATGTGAACACATTGTCATTTAAATAACTGTCTTAAATGAGTACTTCCTTACCTTTTTGAACTCTGTGAACAAGTCAAGTGTATGTCTCCTCTAAAGGCAGTCCCACAAATGGTACATCCATTCTACTGCTCCCAGGGAGTCTGGTACTAACATGGGAGGCTTAAGGGAGCTTTTTTTTTTTTTCCTTTAAAGCTCAAGTATGGCTATGTCTCTGAGACTCTAGCACTATGATTCTATACCAAACAAATATAATGAAACTGCTAGCATGGCAGCTTGTTTTACACTTGTAATTTCATGTACTATTCAAATTAATAAAACATGTTCTAAGGGTGCAAGTGTGACACTCTTTGCATCACAGAGCTCTTTTACATTACTTATGCCTCACATAAAAATCAATACCACAGGGAATGAAGTTCAGGAATCACTATAGTACTTCTTGTCACAAGGATCACTGTTGTTACTACTTAGTGCTACAAGTGTATGTGGAACTCCAAGAAATAATGAGGCATGGGTAATCTCTGACATTACTGAAGTAGATTAGCAGCAAAAATGGTGGCAAGCAGGATGGCAAAAGGAAAGACAAAGATGCAACAATAAGTGTTTAAAGATGCTGTGGTCAATGCAAGTATCTTGACATTTTGTAAGTTTTCACGAGCTTGTTCATTTGCATTAATTTGTATCATGCCTCCTTAGATATGGTTCAGAGGTCAGATGGAAGAAAGATCTTTAGACTTAAATGAAGAAAGGACAAAGGCATCAGGCATGGATGGGTACATGAGAGGAGGGAGCTTGATGAAAGTAGGGAAATGAGATAAATGAAGCTGTAAGAAACTGAGGAGATCTAATCGCACTATGGGAGCACCTGCAGAGCTGAATTGGCTTTCTTCCTTTTTTCTTATTTTCTGCTAAGCAAAGCATTCAGGGACACCAGGGGCAGCTGCCAGAGGTCAGAGCAACTTTTGAAAATTGGCTTGAAAGGAAACAGGGTGAGAAAATAAAATGCCAAGCAAAACATAGTACTGTAACTTATTTTTTGCTATTGATATTTTTGTTTTGAGTGCATGTTCTGTTCAAATTTGGTCAAGTTATGTTTAGTTTTCCTAGTGAGACATTTCAGTGTCCTTTTAACTGCATTTCAATACACCTACATCTGGACTGGAAAATCTACCAAGTCATCTTACCCTTGACTGGACAGACCACAGCACCTCCACATGTATCTATATATTCTGAGTATATTGCATGAAACATTTCTTTACAGTACAGATTTAGAGATACTTGATCCTGATCATATATACATGGATATGAAAGAACAACTCCACTCTGCTGTAAAAAGAGTGCAATTCAGAATCAATTCTTTGTCTGAAAATGGGAAGAGTTCTACACTTAGGATAATAAGCTAGAAATAGTTGTCATGACTTGAAGAAGGCCAAATGTCCATGTAGGGATAAATATGAATCCCACGATGCTGGAAGTTTGCCAGTACAGCTGCCAGACACTTATTGAAAACCATGTGAGCCAAGGTACTTTGAGGCCAAATGAGTGCTCAGAGTAGAAAACGATAATTCCCATCCTGAAAACAAAGAGCCAAATCATGAAATTTTTACTCAGACAAAACTCATATTGACGTCAGTGGGAATTTTCCCTGAGAATGGTCTCCAGGATTTGCCTCAAACATACATGTGTATCCACTATACATTGCAAATTAAGGCTGTGTAGGTAATGATCCATTCTGATAAAAATATACAGTGTGAACCAATCTGTCCTTAATTTCTCTTTGATTTAGGAAGAAAGTGATAATGGAATTTTGCAAAGCATGCATGACAAACATCTGTATTGCTAAGAAAAAATAGAACCTTTGAAACTATCCCAGATTAACAGACCAAAGGATTTATCAGCAAAAAATAAGCCAACCTACTGCTTCATTTTTACACTTTAAGGAAAGTCAAAGAAATACTGTGAATTCATTGAACAGCTTTACCCTAATATGCTGAACACAAGCAGAGCAGCAAAGCATTGCACACTGGTAGGAAGGAAGGTTTCCACAAATGAGAACTGGAATGACCCAGCTGCTGCCCCAAATCAAGATGGAAACTTGGAATGAACGGAACAGAGAGCCCAGCTGTTCTCTGTTGCAAGAGGGTTAATTATTACAAATCAATGACTAAACCCCTCTATCTCTTATGATGATGACAGGGAGGGGGGGAAGTCTAAGGAAGACATTGTCATTCACACCAATGATCTCTTTAGACTGTCCTAGTAATGGATGTTCATCCAAGGAAAAGCACTTTCATATTTCAGCACACATGAAGGCATCACTGGTAGATGTTCACAATCTTTTTAGTCCAGATCACTTGCATAATAAATTTGATTTATGTAAAATTAAAACTAAAGCTTGTTTAAGTCATCTAACATTACAAGTTTAGGGATGTTAAAAGACAAAAGCCACTGTACAAGTACATAGGAATTCAGTTATCTAAGGTATTCTAAAGCAACATAAAACTAAAGTAGTTAAAAAAAAAAGAACTCATAAGGTATATTATGGAAATATATTTGCCAGATAGATCGATATAATGCTTTTGTTTGCTCCTATTGAGCAAGAACAGCAGTAGTGCTTCAGAGGATTACCTGCAAAACTAAATTTTGAAATATGGCCTTAGATTTTTAAGCCCTTAAACTAGGACCAAACAACCAAATGCTGCCATTGCAATGGCAAGATATCACATTTTGTGGGTAACTGTAGCAGAATATAGCATCATTTATTCTTGTTCATTATTCAATTCAAATCCAACCCATCTAAATACTCCTACATTGGTAAGTGGAATTGTGTGAAGCCAGATGTCCCTTGAACCATGGTATTGAAAATTTTACTTGAGAATATTTATTCTACTGCATGATAAGTCATTGCTAAAACAAATGAGCTGACAAACATAAAGAAACCCAGCTGTAAAGTTGGATGCTAGCCCATTGAAATGGGGCATCACCCAGCTTGTCAGTGGAACAACTTCCAGCTTGACTTACTGCTCTAACTTTGATAAAATACTACCTGCCCTGTAGAAAATCTAAAATGTCTGTGCATATCACTGTAATATTTATTGGGTTTAGTTGTCCTATGGTAGAATCAAGTAGTTGCAGTCATGGACTAGGACACTTTAGCCACTATAACCCTTTCTCCAAATAAATGTTCTTAAAGAATGGATTTTTTTCCCCTTTGGGCACTGTTCTCTTTTTTTTTTTTTTTTTATCTGATAATGTGTAACAGTGGGAACACTTGGCTGTGAGGGTACTCTTTAGGGGAGCGTGTTTATGGAAATTCTTCTCTGTCAATATTTAAGAATGAGTGTACTTTGG